ATATACAAGATTTTGCATTTCCAGTGAGGGGGCGTGCATGCCACCCTACCCGCGCCACCATTGGTGGCTACAGATGTCAATCCCTGGGTCCTGGCCGGAGATTCCCTGTCAAAACCCGGCGATCGCCGAGGAACACTGACAGGGGAGGTACCTGTGTGTAAACAACACAGATCTCTCTCCTGCCAGCAGTAACATGCTGCTGTGTATTTCTTTGCACAGCAGAGAAATACACAGCAGCATGTTTCCTTAGTAAAACACACACAGCACACTTAGTAAAACAGCACAAAGCTAACCCTTTGATCGCCCCAGATGTTAACCCCTTCCTGCCCAGTGTCATTAATACGGTGTCAGTGCTTTTGTATTCGCACTGATCACTGTATTAGTGTCATTGGGATATCCGTAGCAGTTAGTCAGTTACCCTCCAATGCCCTCTGCAGTCCTGCTATAAGTCGCTGATTACTAGTATAAAAGAAAAAAAATCCAGTATATATACCACCATTTGTAGATACTATAACTTTCACATAAACCAATTAGTTTGCACATATTGGGATTTTTTTTTTAGCAAAGACATGTAGCAGAATACATTTTTTGCCTAAATTTATGATGAAATTTTACTTTTTTAATTTTTTCACTGGATATGTTTTATAGCAAAAAGTGAAAAATATATATATTTTTTAAATGTCCGTCTTTTTTTGTTTATAGCACAAAAAGTAAAAAAGGCTGAGATGATCAAATACCACAAAAAGAAAGCTCTATTTGTGGGGGTAAAGAGACATAAATTTACTTTATGTACAACAGTGCATGACTGCGCAATTGTTAGTCAAAGTAACATGGCTCCACATCGCAAAAAATGGCCTGGTCAGGAAGGGGGGTAAATCCTCTGGAGGGCAAGTGGTTAAACTGGGCTAGTGTTCAGGATCAGTGCTGCTTTGTCTTCAGCCTCCTGCGTATCATGTGTTCCTGTGATCCCTGTATCCTTATTTCAGTTGGATTTGCAGTAGGATTACATACTTAAGCTGGACTTACATATGCTATTTAACCACTAGCCTACAGGGCACTTATACCCCCTTCCTGCCCAGGCCAATTTCCAGCTTTCAGCACTGTTGCACTTTGAATGACAATTGCGCGGTCATGCACTGTACCCATATGAAACTTTTATAATTTTTTTGTGACAGATAGAGCTTTATTTTGGTGGTATTTAATCACCTCTGGGTTTTTTTTTTTTAAACAAACCAAAAACCACTGAACATTTTGAAAAAAAAAAAAGTTTTTTCTTAGTTTTTGTTATAAAATTTTGTAAATAAGTGATTTTTGTCCTTCACTGATGTGCGCTAATGAGGCTGCACTGATGGGCACTGATAGGCTGCACTGATGGACACTGATAGGTGGCACTGATGAGGAGGCACTGGTAGGTGGCACTGATGGGCACTGAAAGGCAGCACTCATATATGGCACTGATAGGCGGCACTGACTGGCACTGTTAGGCGGCACTGATAGGCAGCACTAACGGGCACTGATAGGCGTCGCTGATGCACACTGATAGACAGCACTGACTGGCACTGATAGACGGCACTGACTGGCATTGATAGGTGGCACTGACTAGCACTGATGGGTGACACTGAAAGGCAGCTCAGATAGGCACTGAAATATGGCACTGAAATGTGGCACTGATGGGCACTGGCAGGTGGCATGGATGAGCACTGACAGCTGGCACTGATGGACACTGACAGGTGGCACAGCTGGGGCTACACAGATCATCAGGGCACACTGATCATCAGTGCTCTGATGATCTGTGTACATGTCCCCTCCAAGCAGGGGCGGACTGACCATTTGGAAACTCGGGCACCGGCCCAGGGTCAGTAGGGGGCCCCATGAGATGCCCCTGGTACCTTTTTCATAGGCTTTCTTGAGTTTGGGCAAGGACACAGGGGCCCCATGATCCCCTATTTCCCGGGGGCCCCATGAGTTGTCAGTCCACCCCTGCCCCTGAGGAATGCTGATTACCGGCTCTCCTCTCCTCACGAGCTGTCAGCGTGACAGATTGTGAGGAGAGAAATGCCGATAATCGGCATTTCCCTGTTTACATGTGATCAGCTGTGATTGGACACAGCTGATCACATGACCGAGCCGACATCTTCGGCTCTTTCCATTGATCGGTGATCCGCTGTGTCTGAGGGACACAGAGCACCGCTGATCGGCGCACATGCGCGGTTAGAATGGGAGGACATCATATGATGTCCTTCCAGAACGAGAGAACAGCCTTGTGTCCGTCATTTTACTATATGGCGGGCGGGAGGCGGTTAAAATTATAAATATTATATTTTTTGATATATATATATATATTTTTTTTTTTAATTCTATATGGTTTATATATTTTGGGAGTATATTATATTTAATTTAATTCTATATTAGTGGAGTTCGACATGTTTTTGTATTTTGATTCTAGTGACACACGTGTATGAGTATGTGTATGGTGTAGGCGACCCACATATTTGATTTCCTTTAATAATTTTTCACATCACATACACCAGTATATTTAATTAAGTACACAACCTCTAATGGTTATTTATTAATTCTTTTTTTATCATTTATTATATAGTTTTTATTTATTCACCTTAGAAAGTATAAAATACTCCATAGTAGCTCACAAGAATCACATTTTTTATTTCTGGTTTCAGTTGCTGACCCGGATTGTCCTAACTTACCCGGAAGTCTGCCTGCACTGACCTTGAGTTGTCCACTGACCTCCACTTCTGTCTGTTTCATTGGCTTCTGCTTCACTGATCGGTTCCAGAACTGCTTGTACCTAGACCACGCTTCTACCTATGCCCTGTACCTGATCCATCCTGCCTATGTACAACCTGACCTGCCTGACTCTGCAACGTTGCCTGCTGTCACTGGTATCTGCGAGCCACCCTGCTGTTCCTTTCCATCTACAGTCTGCTACCAGCAACTGTCTCATCTGTCTGCTGTCGCCAGTACCAGTCTTCTTCAGTCCACTGCCCAGCTGCCTGCCAGTCTGCCTGCCTTATGGAAGACCTCTGACAACTTCTCCTGCCCAGAATGGACACCTCTGCTGCTAGCAAGATTTACAGGCACTCATGCCACTCTGCACTCCTGCGCCTTCTGTTTACACTACTAAAGGTCCGGAGTAAGAGAGATCTGCCTCATCATATCAGGCCCTGCTACCAGATACGTGATATATTCACACTATATTTATGAGATGTAATGATTTTCTAATAAAGGGCTGATAATATTATTCCTTTTATAATAGTAAACATTTCCTTCATATACTGCAACACACACAAACATTTCTGTAACTTTAACAAATATCTTTGATTATCGCTACATACAGTATCGAATTGCACTCATATTGTGTTCTCTTTAGTTACAATGAACTGTTTAACTAAGATTTTGCAAATAAAAGTAACACTTTTTAATAATTAGTATACTGAAACCTTAGCTACATTGGAAATTTGAAACAATTTTGATAAAAAGCGACACTAAAAAAGAACATTGATAGGAACAATTAGGGCTGCATTTCAAATCCTTTTTATGCACATGCCTATTACTATAATGTTTTTTTTCATTTGTTCAAGGTTTAGTATTAAATTAACTGAAAAAAATCTATAATATAATCTGCAAGCAAGGTGACTAATCAATACATATCCAATTTTTTTGAATCACTAACATTTAACTTATATTTCTGTTGAAGTTTTACAAAACAAAACAAGTCGTATAACATTTATTAAAGCAAATTGTCATGGCCCTTTCATACTGGTGATTCGATCAGGTCCACTTGTCAGTTTTTAAAGTGGACCTGATTGGATGGTCCATGCATTCCTATGGACCAGGGGATGTAAACAGACTTGTGTCCATTTTACACCTACCTCCAAGTCCAATCAGGCTTGCTAAAAAAATAGAGGAAGACTGCATCCTCTTCCATTTGGGAGGACCAGATTGGAAGCAGCAGGGTATAAATGGACAGCAGAGTCTGTTTTCACCCAACTTCCCATATGCTATGCTGACACAGACCTGTCATCTGTCCCTCTCTGCTCTGATCAACAGGGAATCTGTTGATTCATGTGAAAGGGCCAAAAGTGTTGGGACGCCTCTCGAAATCATTGGATTTAGGTGTTCCAATCACCTCCATGGCCACAGGTGTATAAAATCAAGTACCTAGGCATGCAGACTGCTTCTACAAACATTTGTGAAAGAATGGGTCGCTCTCAGGAGCTCAATGAATTCAAGTGTGGTACCTTGATAGGTTGCCACCTATGCAATAAGTTAATCCGTGAAATTTCCTTGCTACTAAATATTCCACGGTCAACTGTTAGTGGTATTATAACAGAGTGGAAGCAATGGGGAACAACAGCAACTCAGCCACGAAGTGGTAGGCCAGATAAAATGACAGAGCGGGGTCAGCGGATGCTGAAGCACACAGTGCGCAGAAGTCGCCAACTGTCTGCAGAGTCAATAGCTAAAGATCTCCAAACTTCATGTGGCCTTCAGATTAGCACAACAGCAGTGCATAGAGAGCTTCATGGAATGGGTTTCCATGGCCGAGCAGTTGCATACAAGCCTTACATCATCAAGTGTAATGCAAAGCGTTGGATGCTGTGATGTAAAACGCACCACCACTGGACTCTACAGCAATGGAGATGTGTTTCTCTATTGTGACCAATCATGCTTCTCTGTCTGGCAATCCAAATGGACATGTCTGGGTTTGACAATTGCCAGGAGAATGATACTTGCCTGACTGTGTTGTGTAAAGTTTGGTGGAGGGTTGTTTTTCAGGGGTTGGACTTGGCCCCTTACTTCCCGTGAAGGGATCTCTTAAGGCATTTGCATGCCAAGAACTTTTCAACAAGTTCATGCTCCCAACTTTGTAGGAACAGTCTGGGGATGGCCCCTTCCTGTTGCAAAATGACTGTGCACCAGTGCACAAAGCAAGGTCCATAAAGACATGGATGAGCAAGTTTGGGGTGGAGAAACTTGACTGACCTGCACAGAGTCCTGACCTCCACCCGAAAGAACACCTTTGGGATGAATTAGAGAGGAGACTGTAAGCCAGACTTTCTCGTCCGACATCAGTGCCTGACCTCACAAATGTACTTATGGAAGAATGGTCAAGCATTGCCATAGACACACTCCAAACCTTGTGGACAGCCTTCCCAGAAGAGTTGAAGCTGTTATAGCTGCAAAGGGTGGGCCAACTCAATATTGAACCCTATGAACTAAGACTGGGATGCCATTAAAGTTCATGTGTGTATAAAGGCAGGCGTCGCAATACTTTTGGCAATATAGTGTGTGTGTGTGTGTGTATATATATATATATATATATATATATATATGGTTGGGGGGGCTTTAAAAATGTGCAGTTGATGCTGCCTTCCAACCGAATCCCCTTAACCACTTGCCGCCCACCAACAGTAGTTGTACCGTGAGTGGGCAGCAGCTGCAGGCTACATCACGACCTTTATTCTGGGTTCTGTGTTTTATTGAAGAGTAATGCTGCCTGGGGATGGTGCCAAGTCAGCAAGTGACCATTCTGTCCAGACAGACTGGGTCTAAGGAAGTATGTCAATGCATAAAGGAGTATTTGAAATAGAACACATTGAATGATTAATTGAATGATCATATTGATCTGTGTGTGCCCACCTTTACAATACTATCTTTGCCTTTAGGACAATTTTCTGTTAGGTTATTCAATTATATTTAATATGATAGCTCTTAATAGTAATGTTGATATTTGCCAAGAACAATTTTATGCCATAACTACAACAGTTTGTGCTTCACATCCATCTGCTTACCATAAACTTGATTTGGAAGTGAGAGAAAACACACCGTGAATAGTCTCAAAATATCTGGAAATGTGAATGCAGAGAATATTAAGATGGTAGGAATAAAGTAGATATACAAAGCTCAACTATGTTTTACTTTTAAAAAAAAATGTAGTTTGGATACTTTTAGCTACTATATACTTTGGATAATTTGGCTTTCAGAAATCAGAAAGGAAAAGGTTTCCAGCAAAGAAAGAGAATGGACTATTAGCAAAGAAATAAGTGGATGCAGATTTGTCACCTAATTGTGCTTAGTTACTCAGCTCAACCAAGACCGATACACACAGCAAGGAGACTGAATTATTTTTTTGTTTAGTTTTAGAGAGCTGATTTGTCACACTTAAGCTGGCAAGTGAAAATTTTTGACTCATTTGTACATGGCTTAAGCCCCGTACACACAATGAGAATATTGGGACGAATGATCGTCTGTTTTTTTTCTGCATGCTAGACTCATATTGATAATGGAAAGGTTACTAAAATTATGAACACTCTCGTAGGACAGATTAAAAATTTGGAAGTGATGTCATGTATTGTAATGTATTTTTGGACAAAAACTGTACTACTTAAATGAAAATTGTATGATCTGGTATCATTCAAGAAAAATGTTTATGCTTGTCTTTTCGAATAATTTCGGATGAAAGCTGTGTACTAATGATTATATTATTGTACAATCACTTCAAGCGGTATATTTTTGTATGATTTTCTGATTATGTGTACTAGGCTTTACAGATCAGCCCAGCACATGTTATTTTTTGGCATGTGTGGGTTCATACTGTAATTGCACTATTGTTTGGAATTTATTGCATAATGCTTGACACTACCCTTGGCAATTTTGTTGGCGGTTTGGAACGTTCCATCAACTATTAACCACTGCAATCTGCCACCCGTGCTGAAACTGTTTCCTAGATTCCAGCAACTTATGGATTGGAATTGTGATTGAAGAGCCATTTTCAATATATTTCCACTCCAATTTAATATGACAATCAGCACTGTTTAAACAATTAACTCCATGGAAATCAGATTGCTGTGGTATAAACAATGGGGCAACTTAGGTACAATGTGAAATCTATTGGTTTGTATATTGGCAGATGTTCGGCT